CAGACTCTGAGAGAAACAATCAATCAATGGGACCTTTTGAAACTGAGAAGCTTTTGTAGAGCAAAGGATACGGTCAACAAGGCAAAGCGACAGCCTACAGAATGGGAAAAGATCTTCACCAACCCCACATCTGACAGAGGACTGATATCCAGAATATATAAGGAACTCAAGAAATTAGTCATCAAAATGCCCAACAGTCCAATTAAGAAATGGGCTATAGAACTAAACAGAGAATTCTCAACAGAGGAAACTCAAATGGCCGAAAGACATTTAAGGAATTGCTCATCATCCCTAATCATCAGGGAAATGCAAATCAAAACAACTCTGAGATACCACCTTACGCCTGTCAGAATGGCTAAGATCAAAAACACTGAAGACACCTTATGCTGGAGAGGATGTGGAGCTAGGGGAACTCTCCTCCACTGCTGGTGGGAATGCAAGCTTGTACAACCACTTTGGAAATCAATATGGCGCTTTCTTAGAAAATTGGGAATCAATCTCCCCCAAGATCCAGCTATACCACTCTTGGGCATATACCCAAGAAATGCTCAACCACACCATAAGAGCACTTGTTCAGCTATGTTCATATCAGCATTGTTTGTAATAGCCAGAACATGGAAACAACCCAGATGCCCTTCAACTGAAGAATGGATAAACAAAATGTGGTACATATACACAATGGAATACTACTCAGCAGAAAAAAACAATGGCATCATGAGGTTTGCAGACAAATGGATGGATCTAGAAAAAATCATCCTGAGTGAGGTAACCCAGACTCAGAAAGACAAACATGGTATGTACTCACTCATAGCAGGATACTAGACATGAAACAAGGATGAATTGTCAGCTACTCACATCACCAGGGAGGCTACCCGGAAAACAGGACCCCAAGAAAGACACAGGGATCGCCCAATGACAGAGAAATGGAATGAGATCTACATGAACAGCCTGGACATGAGTGGGGGTAATGAAAGGCGAGGGTCGAGGGAAAGAGAGCTTGGGGGAGCGGGAGATCCTAGCTGGATCAACAACAGAGAGGGAGAACAAGGAATAGGAGACCATGGTAAATGAAGACCACATGAGAACAGGAAGAAGCAAAGTGCTAGAGAGGCCCACAGAAATCCACAAAGATACCCACACAACAGACTGCCGGCAATGGTCGAGAGACAGCCCGAACTGACCTACTCTGGTGATGGGATGGCCAAACACCCTAATTGTTGTGCTAGAAACCTCATCCAACTACTGAGGGATCTGGATGCAGAGATCCATGACTAGGCCCTGGGTGGATCTCTGGGAGTCCAATCAACGAGAATGAGGAGGGTTTATATGAGTGAGAATTGTTGAGACCAAGGTTGGATAAAGCACAGGGACAAATAGCCAAATGAATGGAAACACATGAACTATGAACCAATGGCTGAGGGGTCCACACTGGATCAGGCCCTCCGAATGGGTGAGACAGTTGATTGGCTTGATCTGTTTGGGAGGCATCCAGGCAGTGGGACCAGATCTTGTGCTCATTGCATGAGTTGGCTGTTTGAAACCTGGGGCCTATGCAGGATTGTTTGGCTTGGCCTGGGAGGAGGGGACTAGACCTACCTGGACTGAGTCTACCAGGTTGACCTCAGTCTGTGGGGAAGGCTTTGCCCTGGAGGAGATGGGAATGGGGGGGGGGGGCGTTGGGGGGAAGGTGAGGGGGACGGGAGGGGGGAGAACAAGGGAATCCGTGACCGATATGTAGAACTGAATTGTATTGCAAAATAAATTAAAATAAATTTAAAAAAAAAAAAAAAAAAAAAAAGAAACTCAACTTTTAAAAACTCAGTACATTACAGGAAACAAAGTAATTTGTACAGATGTCTAAGAAGTAGAAGTGGAGTTCTTATTGGGTAAATTTTAATTCTTGGTAATTTAGGAACAAATTGGCTAGTGAAGTCAAATTTGAGTAAAGTCACTGTCGTATCATGTACTTTATTTCAAACACTGAGTGTTGATACAATTCAGTTTGATACTACTAAATTCAGTGGTATGTAGACCCATTCAGGGTGAAATGTAAAATTAGCATGTGCCAGGACTTCTACAAATGCTGTGGGAAGCCAGTGACCTAAAACTGACTGTCAGGGCATCTCTAACAAATAAACAAGCAAGGAGTTCCTTTTGAAGCATTCCTTTGTGATGTGGGAGCATTTGCAGGTGTGGAGGGGACCTTGCATGCTTGGCAGGATTCCATTGCCTAAGATCAGAGGAACAAGGATGAGGTCATTGAGAACCACAGCAACGCTTTGTCCAGTCGCAGATGAGGTGTGCATGTTTCAACAGATAAAAGACTCACAGGAAACCATTGGAAAATGAAATTCTTGACATTTCCAGAATTTAAGTTCTGAGCTTCCAGTAATGATCGAAGAGCATCATTATGAGTAAATGCTGCATTCTGGAAACAAAGGCTGTCATGACTAACACAACACCATTTTGTCTTGTTAAGAAAGGACAAAGATCTAAACTGTCTGGCAACAGGAGACTGGACAAGTTAAGCTTTCAAACAAATGAAATGACATGTAGTCATTAAAAAGGGCTAAGTAAATTTCAGTGTTCAGGCTATATCACAATGCTCTTAAGTGTTTTTTTTTTTTTTAATGAAATGTTGAAATCATTGTTAAGCAAAAACAATCAAAACAAATAGACCATATGCATGCTTCTAACTGTATAAAATATCCTGAACAGGCAAATCCAGACAGAGAACTGACTAGTGGTTGTCGGGAAATCAGTGGTACCGTGTTGGGAGGGACAGGGTTTCTTCTGGGCCTGCTCTGCTTTCTATCGCTATTATATTCACCATGACCAAAAGCAACGTGAGGAGGACAGTGTTTATTTCATTTTACAACTTACAGTCCATGTAGGGAAGCTAGGGCAGGAATTCATGGCAGGGATCTGAAGGCAAGAACTGAAGCAGAGACCATGAACACTGTGATAGCCCACAGAGGCATCCTAGTGAGACCTTACTCAAGGTCAGAGAATCTGAGCTTGCTTTACCCAGCAGGGCTGCATAATGGGATGATTTGGCCAGGGGCATGGTTACTAGGTGTTTGGAAAGTTCTATAGCAGGGCTGCATAATGGGATGATTTGGCCACGGGCATGGTTACTAGGTGTTTGGAAAGGTCTATACTTGTTGGTACTTTGTGCTTTGATCTTGCAAGGGGGGAGGTCATTTGCCTCTCCCCTTGGCATATTATAAAAAGCCCTTTTCAATAAAGCTCTGAGTGACTGGGTATTGACCCAGGGCCTCCCCAAAGCTATCCTGTGTCTCTGTCTTTTTCATTGTCTCTTTCTATCTTTCTATCTAATATTTCCTCATTCTTCTCTCTTCCACCCAAGAACCCTTCAAAAGGTGGGAGCAGTTTGGAGCTGGACTGCCACAGACTCCCACAGAACACTGCTTACAGGCTTGTTCTCCATGGCTCAGACTGTTTTGTGGTTTTGTTATATACACACATATACATACACACACACACACACACATAATGCAGGACATCTGCCCAGGATAACATACCTACAGTGGGTAGGTAGGACCCTCCCAGATATTTCCAGATCAATCACCAATCAAGGAAATGTCCCAGACTTGCCTCTAGACAATCTCATGGAGGTTTTTTCTCAATTGAGGTTCCTTCTTCCCAGAGGGACTCTAGCCTGTGTTGACAAAAAAAAAAAAAAAACAAAAAAAAAAACAAAAAAAAAAAAACCAAAAAACCTAGCAAAGGGGTGACGGAGAAACTCTAGTGAAGGATGTGCAACGAGCTGAATCTACTAAACACCTCCCACAAACCTCCTCTGCTGCTGCCATGCACCTGCCACCCTATGGCACCTATTGATCTATCTCTAAAGATTGCCCCTTCCAGAAATGCACACCAGTGAAATATACTTACATTTAGACTTTGTTAGTATATTTTAAGGCTTATGTATGCCTATATGCCCAAATAGCTTATCAACATGCCTTTTAAAATTCTGTATTGACGTGCTAATTTTTACATCATGGTTTAACTGGAAAATGAAATAAAGGTGTTCCCATTTTGAATTTTAAAACATAGTAAAATTTAAAAAACTTTGGGCCACTAAAGGTCTAAAATAAAGAGACTATCAAGGTCTTCAATGTCAGGAACCACAAAACTGAAAACTACAAACACATTGTTACATTTGCTAGACATTTTCAGAACAGTATTTCAACTCAGAAAAAAAGTAGTAACTTTGTTTTCTCTACTTTAGGACAACCAGAATAATCAAACTAGATAAAAAGGAAAAATTATAGGCACCTAAAATATTTTCAGTGAATACTTAGTTTTCTCATTTCTTTATTCTGTGTGCCACAAGTCTGAAACGACTTTGATACATAATTTTTCACCCTGCAAGCTTTCTGAAGATTTAGTGTTAACTTCAGAAACAGAACAAATTTATTTACACAAGCAAGCCTAATTAGTTAAGCTCACAAAAATGCAATACCTGAATTTTAGAACCTAATGTGCTTAAGAAAGTGTTTGTGCTTTTAAATTAGAACAGCTCTATGTTTAATTAGTCCTCATTTGAGGAAATAATCATTTTCATGCATTTGCACAAACCCAGGACATTGTGCTCCGTCAGCAGATGAGGCTCTCATTAACTGGAGTGGGATTTGAGGCACAAGGCCAGGGGGAATTAGATCTGCCTGTGATGCAAAAGCCACACTCTTTCCACCAGCGCTCACGTGTCAGGGTTTTTTTTTTTTTTTTTTTGTAACCATTCAGAGACATTTGTTAATTATACTTTTAACTAAGGATTCTGCCAACCCTTAAATATCAATAATTTAATAACTAAAACTCAATTTCCTTATTGCCTAGTTCTAAGGGTTTACTGATTAAAGCAACAGCTTAAAACCCAAGTCCTAGAAATGCAGTTCTAATCTAGCTTCTGCCCCTGGTTTGGTGCTGAATAAGGGCAATTCATGGGTAGTAGAAAGGAAGTAGACTAGACAAGAGACAGAAGACTAGGCTTTATTTAGGCGGCTTGAAAATAAACAGGACACGTTGGGGGATAAGCTAACAAGTCAGTCTCATCTACCCATGAAAAGCATTATGAGCCAACTCTTCCTTATGATACTGCCAATAATATCTTGTTATTCCCACTCCATCACAAACACAATCCTAATTATACTTTAAAGAGAAAAAATGCTTAATTCATATAAATATGAAGTGTACTTATGAGAAAGTACTTTTGCTTCTTGCTTGATAGTAAATGTTTTGTTTCTAAAATCTGGGTTTTAAAATAAGCATGCAATGAGATATACTGCTTGATAAATTAAGCTTTTATTCCTAAAAAAACCCTTGGGGTTTATAAAAATGGAGACCATGGAATAACTAGCAGCTGGGATTTGATGTGACATCTCAGTGAACACCAGGCAAGGACAGGTTGAATGTGAGGCATTGCTTGAGTAGACCTGCTGCTGTATTTGACGTTGACAGGTGAAATCTTCCCCTTTCTCACTGCTCTCTATTCCTCTTCACTCCATTTTCTTCTACCTGAATTATCTGATAGTTCTCTAAGTATTGTGCAATTCATCTAACATGATGAATTCCAGTTCTATCCATTTACCCACAAAGGCATGGTTTTATTCTTATCAACAGTCCTTATATAAATGTACAAAAATGCATTTATGAAACTCATCATTTTGTTGATTTTCTGATTTCAAAAGATGAGCAAACTTTGTGTCTGCACATGAATAAAGTTTGTCTACAAACCTAGTATGGTTCTTGAAAACAGTAGGCAATACACAATTACAGGAAAGATGTAAAATGTACATGTAGACCATAGGCATAATTAACCAACCACATGTAAAATATGACCTTGGCATGCACATCAGTATACAGGAATCACTCACTAGTGCCGACGTACTGCTCCACTCACTGAATACAAGACCAACAGTGAGGTGTGAAATGTGTCAATCTGTGCCCTCATAGCAGCTTTCAATTATTCAAATGGTGAACTTTAAGCTATACTGTTTACCAAAAAGGCTGCCATACAACACTTACCAGACATACTATATTATATTTCAACATATGCACAAATGTGGTTACATTATATTGATTTTTGCTTAAGAGTTTCGTGAAGAAGTGCTATACATGATTAATGTGCTAAGCAAATTTTTAAATTAAACCATGTATCAGATGCAATTACATTATGTATCCATTTTTATAGAAAAATAATTAAATGTTAAATATCTCATGTTGGTAACTTTTTGTTGAACACGGGAACAAATTGTATGCCAGTAGCATACAAGGACATTTAAAAGAAACATAGCCAACACCAGCATAAAACCACAGAATAATGATTTAAATAAAAAAGATTTTGATGAAGGGAAGCAACAAATGGTAAGAAAATTAGGTTTATCTGGGGGAATTGGGTAACAGTGGGTTAAATATAACCAAGTGTGAGACAATTTCTCAAGCATTATCTTCCTTATTCACTATAAAGAGCAGCATATTAACAGAAGACATCCGCGAATTTGCCTCAACAAGAACTATGTAAAATGAATCGAAAATGACAATGTTAGGAGTTCAAGCTCAGCCTGGGCTGCAAGAGATCCTGTCTCAACATTCACTCTCCAAAGGCAAGCAAACAAGCCAGAGAAGGGGGAAGGGACTACCAAGACTGGAGACACGCTTCAAAAGTGATTGGTTGAATGTGAAAATGTGCCCAAGACTCACCGTCAGTACCTAAACCCAGAACATCAAGACTAAAGGAAGAACCTGTGTGTGAGGCTCCTTTTCTACCTGACAACATATTCTAAAATACAGCATTAGCATTCTAGGGTATTTTTCTTTTGGCTGCTGGCCCCCTCTTATGAAAAACATGAGACTTTAGTTTCCATTCCATCCTTGCTCATAACTATTACGGAATACTGTCCAGAACCTGAGGTGTTTTAAAGCCAGGAGTCCACACACAAGATATACAGCATTTCCCTACAGACTCTCTTACCAGATGGTGTAATGATACAAACCCAAGTGAGTTTAAAATCAGGAACTAACACTGCCATTCGAAGAAAACTGCTTCTCACTTCATATTTGTCTGGTTCTACACTAGAATGACTTCTATTTCTAAAACTTGGTTTAAATCAGGAGTCAAAATGAAACCCTAATGAAAACAAGACAGAAAATAGTAGTTTAGTGAAAATAAACTCAACAGCAGAGTTAATTGGGAAAATTTAATAAGCATCAAATTCACTGTACATTGATAACAGCAATACTGAAATTGTGAAATTTTAAATATTTTTTTTCTCAATAAAAAAAAAAAAAAAGGTTATTGATTTCTTCTTCCTGGGACATGTGGACAAAACTAAGCATCATGTGGCCAGTCCAGATTAGTTGACCCTAATGTCTAAATAACTGTTCACATTTCATCTCCACAAGGTAGACTGTGAACTGCTTGTATCTCTGAATTTCAGCACAGATTTCATGAGACAATTTATAGGAATGTCAAATATTTGAAGCGTAAACTCAGAAAGCTCTGCATTGGGATTTTGTTTGTTCAGCTTTACTTCAGTGCACTTAACTTGAGGATACTGCAAGCATTTTCTTTCCTAATTCCTTGGAAAAATATTTCTGCAATAAGACTTGTTTCTTCTTTACTGTAACTGGATTGTTTTTGGGAAAGATTATCAGCTTTGTGGTTGGTTTCCCATTTGGTAAAAATCTATCAAAAACATCATAATATAATTTGTGAGGAAAAGAGTTGTTTGTCAAAGGCTGCAGGATCAGGAAAGAAATTGTACTTCTTAGCTGTGTAAGAATAAGCACGCAGAGCTAGTCATTTGCAGGGACTCCACACAATGTCAACTGTCCTGTACCAATGAACGAAAGACTTGTCTACTGCTGCTGCTTCCAGGCTACTGGTCATCGGCATGAGCTAGCTGCACTGCAGTGCTTTGCTGGTCCAATTTGAAGAGTCCAAGGTCCTTTGGGTGAGTTCGGCCCACTGACATCCACATCCCAGACAAATCAGTTCAGAAGATGGAAATCAGGGCAAAGACTCCATACAACAAAGCACAAGGATATGCCACTAAAAGTTGTTGTCCGTCCATGGCTAATGCAGAAATAAAAATTTTGGAAGCCGAAAAACTACACCAGCCAATGATCGTCGCAGTGAGAAGAATTCCTACCATTCCTCTGCAGCAGGAAAAACAAAAAAACAAAACAAAACATGGGAAAGATGAGTAAGATTAGATACTGAAAACCAAACCAAACCACAACTCTACCCTATTCCAAAGGAGGGATCTTTAATGCGTTGTTTTGCAGAAGAGAGCACAAGGACAGTCCCACACTACCACGGATTATGTGTGGAAACTGCAGGGTTAGCACATCTGGACAGCAGTACATCAGCCTCAGGACATTTTTAAATCCACATATAGACATATGCAGAAACAAGACTATTTTGTCAAACTCAGAAATGTACTTGCACAGTGACTTCAAGAATGCTCAACCATGTAATGTGGACAGTATAATTATCCTGCTCTTTAAGCTGCTTCCCTGCTTTGGTACTTGGGCTGGCTCCCTTTGCTCAAAGGTCAGTGCTTAGGATGGTTAGGATGCTCAACAGCTTCCAGGGTCTCTCTCCACTCATAGTATCAGCACTCCCTTTCCCCACTACTACATATGTGTTTACTAATCATATGTTTTCAAGAAGCCCAACTGCTTCAAGATTGATATAACCAGAATATCAAGGAGGCTAAACACAATTTTAACATGAGTGAACTGAACTTTTCCATGTGTTATTTAATGATCACAACTATTCAATTCATTATTGCTATGGTATTGGTAAACACAACACTAGTAAAACTCTTGATCAAAGGTAAAAACTGAGATCATACAGAAGACTTCAAATCTCATTTTCACTTTCATTGTTCATCACCCAAAACACACATAGCAGAGTTCAAATCTAGATGAGGCACAATAGATATGTTTGCTGGACCAGGGCTTTATCTCAAACTGAAGGTGAAGTAAATCCTACTACACAGAACTAGCCAACTAAATCTGAGTTTAAGATCAGTACTTACTGTAAAGAAAATACCACTGCAAAGCTGGACAGCAGGATCATGGGAAGAAGACAATACCCCAGGACACTTGCCACACAACCAAATGAGACACCTGTCATACTCATTAAATTTAACAAACAAAACATTCCTAAACATCCAATTGCACTGATCCCATATACATAGCCGAACTGGATTTTGCCAGCCTATGGGAAAAGAAAAGAAATTACAGGTTAGAATAAAAAGTGTCAGTTGGGGCCTCATTTCACATTAAATGACACATGTATAAAATACTCAATTCACAAGCATCAAAATCTATAGAGGTGCACTGGAAAGGGATAAAGCAGACAGGTTCCACACTCTTCTATTTTAGTAAAAAAAAGTTTTCATAGACTATATTTTGATTACACTTTTTCTCTCTCCCAATCCTCCAAAATCCTCCCCACACTACTCCATACCCTTTCTTTATCTCTTTAAAACAAATACAAATATACAACATATACATACACATAAACCCACAAAACCACAAACTTAGAAACCAAAATATTCAAGTAAAAGACCAATAAGAAAATAAAACCAAACCAAACCAAACAAAAAAGCAATGCCCAAGCAAAGTTGTATGAGACAAATTCTACAAAAATAATCACTGAGTTCCTTTCGTGTTAGCCATCTACTCCTGCACATGGGGCCTGCCTGGAAGTGTGGTTAATATACCCAGTGAGACCCTTTTCAATTACATGTCAATCGCAGGCAGCTTCTTGGTCAGGAGAAGACATCCATGTCCACTTCTCCCTTAGTGCTGGGACCCTATCTGGCTTGAATCTGTGCAGGCCCTGACTTCAAACACTTAACTTTGACACAACACTTCCCAACACAAGTATTTTCTTATATTTCTTGGTAGCATTTAAGCTTGACATACAACTGAACAAACAAAGGAAGAAACAATCTAGGAAAAGTGGGAAGCCAGGGCCCAGGTTAAGAGGGTGAGAAAACCAGATGAACACGATGGAAAGGAACTTTTTTCTTTTCATTCTTTTTCCAAATCTGTGTTGGATTCTACAGTCCTTTGATTGAAAACAAAAGCATACACCTTGGAAGTTCTGCTCTTATAAAAGACATCAGGTAGGCATGGTGGCAAAAATCTTTTACCCCAGACTCAGGAGGCAGAGATGGGCAGATCTCTGAGTTCAAGACTAACATGATCTATATAGTGAGTTGCAGACCAGGTAGACAGTGAGACCTTGTCTAAGATAAAGATTATTAAATGGTTTTCAGACAGCAGTCATGAGCTAAATTACAACCTTCCCACATGAAAAAACACTCTCATGAAAACAAGTGTGCAGAGAAATCCCAAAAGAGGAGCTTTGCTTTGTGAAACTTTTGTTATAGAAGACTAAATCTTGTGAATGCCTCTACAGATTGAGGCCTTTGCAGGATGTAATGTTTACCTGTAAATACTCGATATAGGCTGTGGCAGGTTGAAGCTGAGTTCACTGATGAGTGAAGTAATGAAGCAATAAATAATAAATTCCACTTTGTACCATGCTCTTAGCTTGGCAAAGTATTGTTACATAGCCTGTCCTGGTTTGCTTTTCTTTGTTTTGAGACAGGGTCTCACTCTAACCTAGAGAAATCTTCCTGCCTCAGCCTCCCAAATGTTGAGATTTAGGTATAAGACTCTATGCTCGGCTGCCTATCTGATTTTTTCTTCAAAACAAGCTGGCTGTGGTGGCACATCAAAACAACCCTGTTAGGCTAGTGGGCAGTACAGGGTTATTATCCACCAGCAGGATGTAAAGGATTAAACTGCCAGGTCAAAGGCCAAGTAGAGTGTTGTGTACAAACCCAGGTCTTCTGGCTACAGATCCCATTTTCTATCAGTTACATTATTTATCTCTTGTAATTCAGATTGAGTTAAAACAAATAGCAACTTTTTCTTTCAATATACTTTAATATTCCTGGAGAACTGAGAGGTAGAGTCAAAAACTTGCCATTCTTTAATATTATAACTCATTAGAAATTAAAATGTACAAGAAAGCCATACAATAAAACACTGACCAAGGGCTAGACATCTGTGATAGTTAATTTTAAATCTGACAGTCTAGAATCCTCTGGGAAGGGAGTCTCAATGAGCTGCTGTCTAGATTAGGTTAGCTGTGGCCATGTCTGTGGTGGACTGCCTTGACTGTGCTTAAAGGAGGTTGACACCATTCCCTGGGGCTACTGTCTAGGTCAGGCTAGCTGTGGCCATGTCTGTGGGGGACTGCCTTGAATACGAGGATGTGGGGAGAAGACCATACTTAACGGAGGTTGACACCATTCCCTAGGTTTGTGTTCTGGACTGTAGAAAAGGTGAGCTGAGCAGTGGGCATGAATGTGTCTATTTCTATCTACTCTTGACTGTGAATGCAATAGATTATCTGAAGCTTCCGACATTTCGACATCCAGGCAGGGATGGATGGACTGTAACTGGGAAGTGAGGGAAAACAACCACTTCTCCTTTTGGGTCCCCCAACCCTAAGGCCTCTGGGTATTTTATCACACAACATAAACCAAACTAGGAAAAGATTCAATAAATAAAACCACTATCTCTATTTGCTTTTAAAAGTGCAACACAGTAAAAAATATTGTCCATTTCCTAAAAATAAGAAATTATGATGTTTACTTTTTTATTATTTTCCCCTAATAATTGGACTACTTCTTACAATATATATATATATATATTTTTCTTTCTTTAAAACAGTATCTCAATATAAATCCCAGGCTGGCCTAGAATTCACAATCTTCCTGCTTCAGTCTCTCAAGGCTCTGGTTACAGCTGTGCTCTGTCTCCTACACTTGGCTCAAAAAATAAGTCTCTACATATGTTGCTTAATATTTCCTATTGACAGAGAAATAAGGAATGGGTATAATTTCAAGAAACTCAATACATCCTAAAACCTATCAGACTTGAGGCTCCAAATGTCTTCTGGTGGAATATTGAAAATTCCTCTTTAGTCTTACCAGTAACAGTGTGGCTCCAAAGGCAAGGCAGAATACCACGGGCCCTGCCAGGTCGGTCTCATTCATAATGCTGCCGTCAGCCACTCTCAGGGGGTGCAGCACCGTTAGTGTTTTTTGCCAGATGTGATCAAAATTGATACCCAACTCTAAGATAAAAAGAAAACAAGGAAGTCAGTTGGAATTTGTGATATGCCATTAGCAGTTACATAAATTCACTTAAACATTTTACATTTGAAAGCTCATTACTCCATAGAACGAGGACAAACAGCTACTCCTTCCGTTTCAATAGTCTTCAGCACGGGACACTCTTTTTCTTTTTTTGGTTTTGAGACAGGGTTTCTCTGTGTAACAGTCCTGGCTGTTCTGGAACTCATTGAGATTGCCAGTCTCTGCTTCCCAAGTACTGGGATTAAAGGTGTGCACCACCACCACCTGGCAGCACTGGACACTCTCATTACCAATTTTAAGATCTGTGATGTTTCTAGAATCAGTGCTGGAACAGGACACAATACTAAATACACAGGAACAAAGAGGGTACAGCAATAGTCAATGACACTTTACTCTCCTCTGGACCATTCTCATTATACTGAGTCTTCTGATGCCTACCTTCGGCTTTAGAAAGGACAGGGCACAGTGAAACAGACACACTCTACCTCATACAGTACAAGAACATGTGGACATGGCTAACCAAAGGGACTCCTTACTTGGGGCTTCAGGAATACCCAGGTACCCCATGAGATTACATACAATTATGGCTCTAGGCATCTGTGTTCAGATTTCTGTAATGTAATTTGAGAACCACCATGTTTTTATGCAATCAACAGTTCTGTTAGTTTATTTCCACACAGAACTATAAATACCATGCTAACTGCTTTCATCCATGGGCAGAATATAATTAATAATCTGACATAAAAGCCAATGCTCACACTGTCATATTAAATATTAGTTCTTCATGGTCCATTCTGGCCCAATATAAACTCTCTTCTAAATAAGTTACTGACTAAAGGCTATCTACTGTTTTTTCATAAGAAAGGACAACATCCCATGCAGGCTCCACAGCCATTGATCCAACTTTCTCTGCATGGTGAGACAATTGCGTAGCTTGATCTGCTTGGGAGGCCCCCTGGCAGTAGAAACAGAATCCATCCCTGGTGCATGAGGGGGCTTTGTGGAGCCCACTACCTATGATGGGACACCTTGTGCAGTCTTGAGGCAGGGTGAAGGGCTTAGACTTGCCTCTACTGGATGTGCCTCCCCATGGGAGGCCTTGCCTTTTTGTGGGGGCAGGGGGGAGAGGCTGGAGAGGTGGGAGGAGGGAAGAGGGGGATCTTTGATTGATTGGTGTATAAAATGAATGAAAAAAATTTTCTTAATTAAAAAAAAAAAAAAAAAAAGGACAACATCTCCAATTTAGGCTTTGCTCACTAACCAGCTGAAGACCAGAGCATATGCTGAACAGCTCTAGTCTCAAAACTCAAAACCTGAAATGCTCTGAAATTGAAAGCTCTGAACACCAGTATAATATTCAAGCTGTTTTAATCTAAGCATGATAGCTTCCACCTGCAATCCTAGCAGTTGGGAGGCTGTGGAAGAGGACTACTGCAAGTCTGAGGTCAGCCTGGTTTCACAGCAAAATCCTGTCCAGGGAAAACAAAGGGAGTGGGTCATTTCAGACTTTCTAATTACAGATGCCAAACCAGTGACGCTTACGGAGAGCCTGGAAAATTCAAACTACTTTAAAATGGAAAATATTTCTGGCCTCATGCTTTTCAGACAGGGTCTTCTACCTGTACTGTTCCATCCTACCTTCTAACAAAGGAGGCTCCTCCTCAAAGCTGTCTCCATAGTACGTCTGAGGTGCAGTTGAAGGATAGGCCTGAGTTGGCTGGTAAATCTGCCCAGTGTATGTCTGCTGTGCCTGCATCATGTCTGGAGGGACAAATCGACCTTGCTGCGAGTAGTCATAGCCAGCATACTGCCTGTACATCAAAGGAAATTTGGAAGTTTAATGCTTAGTCTTTTAACCAATTGACAGTATTCCTTGATTTTTTTTTTCTTGACAGCTAAAGAATGCTTAGTCATTTGCAAACCTCTTTCTAAGATATCACAAAGAAACAGTGCTGAAACCAGGACTGACAGGCTGACAACCTACAAGGAGAAGGATGCTCTTACAGAGAGCCCTCCTTTTGCTGTCAGCAAACAAGCAGATAAGCTATCACCCTTTTAAACATCAGGATGCCAACAAATAAAAATTTAGGTCAGGATTACTTTCTTCCCCTAGTAACAGAAAGAATGTTACAATATATTCTGAAAGAAATGTATGCTGCAGATGATAAATGAAGGTTTGGGATGATAGACATGACTATATTTTCCATAATTTGGATATCTATGGAATCATTATTCTGTCTTACACTTCATAGTATGGTAGAGTCTGCAAATGAGAAGACCTGATTAAAAAACATCAGTTTCAAACTGGAGGGCAGGAGGGAATCAAGCATGTTCTTTGTGAAAGCTTTCTGAATCTAACAAAATGCTCTGAGGCCATCTTGTGTTTGAATTGTGCTTTAAAATTTTCAAAGAGACTGTACACTTACTGCCTTACTGGATTTACACCAAATCCCTAGTCTTCAGGAAGAACACTTTACCCTGGCATTTTAGTGACTAGGAGGGAAGAGGACTGCACTAAAGCCCTGTCTGTAAGTACCTGTTTCACCATAAGTCTAGTGTTTCTGTGGACTAACCTATTATATACTGTACAAAATTAAAGTCATTATTTTAAAGATATTTTAAAACGAAAGCCCTAAAAATATTTGGCCTACTTAATTTTGATTACTTCTGGTTTGTCTGAAAAAGGCAAAAATGTAATGATAGCCATTAATATTAAGATTTAAAAAAACTAATTTAAAATTTTTAAAATTGTCTTAAATTAAAAAAAAAAAAGACAATGGTAAATGTTCAGCTATCCAAAGTCATTTTTAGAGGTTCTAATACTACATACAAAGTATGCTTGCAAAATATGCAGTTTTGCCACTCAATGTGGAATTTGTTGCTGTACTACTGCAATAGCAAAAGGCAGAAAAATAGCCAGAAGTAAACATAATGTAACACGTGCATAAGAAGTTACTATGCACCTGTTAAAAAGAATGAAGTAATTTTATGTATACTGATAAATAACAATCAAGAAATAGTGAGGAAAAAAGTAATATTAAAAATACTACATATTATGTACTTTATAGAAAATAAATGCACTTTTATAACTTAGACTATCTCCAGAGTACACACAAGAACCTCTAACTATAGCTGCTGCTAAGTCAAGAAACCTGCTACTAGGGAGATGTAGAGTACTGGATTTTCATATAGACTCTGTACCTTTAAATATGTCGGACAACATTTATTATTGATTGAAATTAGCTGGTGATATAATACTGACCGGCTGGCAAGCTGTGCCCACTACGCAGTAATGACATACTGGTTATGGAAATAACTAACTACTTTCTGATTGGATGTGTGGCCTGCTCCACAGAACAGATTTCATGTCTGGTACCATAAACTTGGTCAAAAGCCTATGGCTGGGGAAGACCACAGGCTGTAGGAGGAACCTACTGCTGTTCTTTTCCTAAATGGCCACACTATTACACTACATTCTGAATATTTATGCTTATACCCATTGATTGGTGCTGCTCTAAGTTTTGGTCAGAGAATCTTCCCTTTTGCAGTCAGTAGTGGTTAAAGCAGAGGCTCAGGACTAGTCAAAGTGCCAAGTATAAATAACACTGAGCTCTCAACTGTAGACGGGCCACCTGTATCAATCTCCCACCACTCAAGGCTCAGAGAACTTCACAGAAGTAGGGAGGAAAAGAATGTAAGAGCCAGAGAATGGGAGGAAAGCTGTGAAAGGTTGACTTCTGGATGTGACCTGGCTGTTGCAAAACAAGCCGACAGTCCTGTGGTTGCCTGAACAAGTCTGCACAAGATCAAGGCCATCACAGATGCTACCATGGCTGGGGAGGGGCCCCTAAGGCCCTGCCCTTATAGGAAAGCTACTGGCAGCTGGTAGCTGCTGAGGGAATAGTCTTTTTTTTTTTTTCCAGGACACAGCCACCAGGTAAACTGCTCATGACCCAGTAGATGGCCACAAACTCATGTGCATAAGGCAGAACTAATTAGACTCAGGATGTTATTAATAACCATAAAAAAAGAGGACATGAAGTTGGGAGGGATGACTAGAAGGCACAAGGAGCTGGAGAAAGGTGGTGGTGAACAGATACAATCAACACACACTTTATAAATGTAAAAAAACTTTCAAAGAACAAAAATACTAAAATTTAAAAAGCAATTGGCTTTTTTTATAAGTGTTTAATGTAATGTATAATTTTATAAGTATAAATTAAAGTAATTATTTTAAAAATATTTTAAAACAAAAGTCCTAAAAATATCTATTAATGTAAATTGTCTCATATTAACTATAATCCTATGAAATGAGCCTACTATTGTCCTCACTATAAAGATATAGAAACTGAAATTTGGGTTAAATAATTTGCCACTGTGGTGAGAGGATTCAAAACCAGGTTATTTAACTCCAGAGGTCATCAACTCTTAATAAGCAATAAAGACCTCTTCAAAATCCTTCTTTACTCACATTACTTCAAAATTACATTTTATATCTGCAGTTTCCCAGCTTTTCTGGAATGATAACATGCTGACTTCTTATGTGCACACCCACTCACACAAGAACAACCTCTATCAGGATTAGCTAGTTGAGCAAGGATAATAATTCTTTTCCTGATTTAGTCTAATATGCTGCTGTGTTATCTGCTAGCATTTCAGAGTTCATGACATCACAAGACAATCTCCATACAAAGGTTTCTATAAGCTAACTAGACTCTAGTTTATTCTTGGGAGACAGCAGGGAGTGGGAGAGAAGAAGGAATACAAAAGAAAATCAGAGAGAATAGTATAGTTAGCAGTTTTAAAATACTTTAGTCATAGAGCTCCTTTATAGCCTTAAAAATCTACTGGAAACCAAAAGTATTTTAGGAGTTATTAACTATCAATATTTACTATTAATTCAGCCGGGTGGTGGCTCATGCCTTTGAGAGGCAGAGTCAGGAGGAATCTTTGTGTATTCGAGGCCTGCAAAGCGAGTTCCAAGACAGCCAGGACTGTTACACAGAAACCCTATCTTGAAAAGAATAAAAAAAAAATAATAATAATTAATTCATTTAAAGTAACATTAAATACATTACACTTTAGAATAAGATAGCTCTGGCTGATCTGGACTTACTATGTAGACCAGGTTGGCTTCAAACTCAAGAGATCCACCTGCCTCATGAGTACTGAGACTACAGGTGTGCACCAACACTCCTGGCCATAAATATTTTTTATGTTACATTTAAACTCAAAACAAAACAGCAGTTTTGAAAATTCAATTTGCAACACAGAACTTGAAACAGCACCAATGAACTTTTTATGCCCTAGCTACATTAAAATACAATGATTTGTCTTGTACTTTGAATGGGTAGCATTTCTCATATAAATGTGTAACATTACTGGCCACTTAAAAATATTAGTTTTATATATATATTTCAAATATTGATATATATTTAATTCTAAACACTGGAAAATCACATTTGTTAAAATTGTCCCCAATTTCATTAGGAAAAAAAAAATGTTCAATTGCTAGGAAGCTATTCATGATGAACACAAGTTTTCCAAAACTCCTCATTTTGTCTGAAATCCTGAGACTGACCACTGGTGACAGTACTAGCAGCTGTTTTCCTTGAAATGACAGGTTCACTTACTAATTTTTGAAAAATTATCTGTGAAATATTGAATTCTGACTAAACAGTGTGTCCATTATTTCAAATAAATATGGTCTCCACAAAAAGCAAGTGGCTCGATGGGTAAATTAAGCAGCCTGTGTATCTTCCTAGAGATGGTGTAATTTCAGTATGGAAAAGGAGTGTTGTGTGACAGAATACTAAAGAGATGTGTACTAAAAGGTCAGGACTAAATAACAATCATGACTCTTCTTGCTTCATTGGGGGAATCAAACGAAACTGCTTTACTCCACCTCCCAAGTAGATGGTGATAACAAATACAAGACTAGTTCCTTGATTCAGATTCAGGTACCAGCAGTTTTACAAACACTATCTTTGCAACATAAGTGCAACTATGAATATATTTGAAAGGCAGAAAATGCTTTAATATTGTTATGAAAACTATTTATGAATCTAGAAGATCTCTAAACATATCCTAAGACTCCTGTAGAGTCTGGAGCTCACAGTGAGTACCACTGATTACAATCTAGAGGTACTGCAAGCAGCACCACTCCAAAGGTGGGACTGTCATCCCATCTTCCAAATGCAGAGTCAAAGAGACAACACTGTGGCATTTACTACTTCCCCGTCCTGCCAGGACCTGTTCTGAAAAATGGGGGTCACTCGACAGTGATTACAAACCAAACTGTTGTGGCATTCCTGATTTTTACAGCAACGCTTTCACAGCAGGCAAAGTAGCATATGCTAAATCAACACTGTCATAAGCTTTGTGTATCAGCAGCAAAGATAAAACCTCTTAAGACAGGTTGTCTACTTATGTTCACAAAAATGTTTCATAAAGATATTATCAGAGAAGTTAAAGGTAAAAATACAACAGGTCTCAGTCTCTGAAAAATAAGTGACTGGTATTACTACATATTTTAGGGGCATATCTAGAAAACTATATGGGATACCCATATGACATGGTGAAGTACAAGAGGAACCCATAAAATGTCAAAGCTGCCCTCACAGGGCAACTGTAGGACTACAGCAAGGCTAGTAAGCCAAACTTTAAGGCAATAGTATAGATAGTATGCTATCTGAACCTAGATTTTCCCTAACAACTAAAGTTATCACTGATTTCTATTAACAAGTTAGCAAAGCAAATAGATTTAGGTGGCAGATCTATTTGCAGGCACATATAGAAGCAAATGAATCTATTTTTCAATCAAGCATTGGAAACTCATATGTATTGTTGCTTCTGTAGCATACCTTTTGTTTTTTTCAAGCATAATTCATAAACCTAAATGCGCTAGCTGATAGCTATGGTTATGTAAAATATCTCCACTAGTATGAAGCCATGCTTACTGACATCACAGTTGGTTCGAATGGAAGCAGAACACCCAACAACAGGTATCTACATAACTGCTGTGTGGAAAAGCAATGTCAGATCATTGTTGAGTGTAACGAGAGGACAAGTCACAGATTGAAGTTTCAAAAACACGGTCAGGATACAAAACCGGAAAGAGACCAACCTGGGAAACTGCACTCTAAATGGAAAACGTCTAATCAGTCTAAAGATGAAAGACTATTTGATCAAAAAAAGGCCGACATATCGTGGCAGGCTCTTCAAAGTTCTGTTGTTTAGGATTTTCCAGGTGGACGCTGATCAAACTTCATTCATTTGCTCTCAAGCACACAAAGTTCTCACTAAAATATGTATTGTGGTAAACGAATGGAAATCTCTCTGTATGATTTTTCTAAAATTCTGCCCAATTAACTGATTTGGAAGAAATAACTGGCATATAGTTGAGAACATAACAGAAAGAAAAATCCTAATTCATAAAGGGTATTTTCATATACTCCTTTCGTTCAACAGGTTAATAAGCAGGAAAGTGCATACACACATAGTATCTACCTATCTATGCCTCAAATTACGTCGATTAAAATAATCCTTGGGTTATAAAAAAGATAGCCACAATTTTCTTTGTGCTTAAGAAAGTTTTGGCACATTTATTTACACATACTGATATAAACACATTCTAACAGTGGTTATATCTCATGGATTGAGTGGATTCATAGCTTTCCTTTGCTCTCATCCCAGAACACTCTTCACGAAATTTGAATTCAAGATCTATAGATGTACACAGCTGACACATACACTGTATGAAGTTATATGCACATTTATATGGGTATATATGAGTCATGCATTTCTGGAAAACAGGCCCATTGTTGCTGTAAGATTCTCAGAAAAATACAAGACCATTTGAAAAGGGGTAAGCACAAGAAACTCCTTCAAGAGAGAGACCAGGAAGATTTAATCTCATCATTCCAAGGGACTAAGGACATGTCTAGAAGAGACTAGCTGAAAACCTTCAAAGTCCCCAAACACCAGGTATTAGAGATGATCTTACTGTTAACAGTTCAGAACCTAAAGTCTCTGAATTCTCTTCTTCAACCATAAACTGATAACTTCTCTGGTACTAACTATAACACCCCAGTATGAGCAGTAATAAAAATGATTATCAACTGCCACATCCGTCACCCAATGACTCATAGTGGGGAGTTTACACTGTTAACCTGTGTCACAGAGCTCTTTATATAGCTGTGGATAGAGTTTGAAAGTCACCATGGCTCACCTACCAAATAAGCTATCAAAAAAAAAAAAAAGAAAAAAAAAAAACCACTTTAAATTTCAGTGACTAAATAGTCTTATATTCTAGGTACCTGAAGAACCCACCCAGACCATTTGTAAATATTATTTCAACAAGTTACTTATCTTTTTTGGCACCCTAGGGATTTTTTTGTTTTTTTTTTTGTTTTTTCACAAAATAACAAATTATAAACAGGGTAACCCCTTCAAACTCTAACCAAATGTCACGTCTCTCTCTAGACAAAACAAAACAAAACAAAAGGACAGCAAATCACATTCCCGAATAGGAACAAGTTCATATATTCATTTTTTAAGGCAGAACCGGGCATTCTGAATACATTCATCCGTTAATTAGAGACTAAGTAAGTTGCCAAAGCTGAAAAGTTACTTGCTGTAAGGTCCTCCACTTCCTCCATAGTCATAGGACTGCTGAGATTGCTCGTCGATGCTGTAACTTGTTTGGTAGAAACCGCTGTTTAAGTTATCAAAGCCTGACATGGCCAACGATCTGCAAGAGAAGAGAGACGGCGAACACTGTTTACCCCCTTAGGTCCTCCTTCATTTGTCTGTGGTCCTCTGCTTAAGAAGACAGAAAGCGTTGCTGGAACCGCGATCAGCATGTGGGGGTGGGGGTGGGGGTGGGGAGAGCTGCGGCCCCAGAAGACCCTTGGACACTGCGGAGCTGACAGGCCTGCGGTAGGGGCGAGGTCCTGCGGAGGCGCCGCTGCACCGAGAGGGAAAACAGCGGCGGCGCAGCCCAGGGTCTTGAGAGGGAGTGGGGGGATCTGAGGGAAAGAGCACAGCCCGCGCCAACAGACCACGTAGCCGGCTCGCACAACTGCTGCCAGACGCCGAGAGGGGTACAGGGGCCGGGGACACTCACCAAACGCTCCCCCGGCGGCGGCTGCAGCTCCAGCGGCCCCTAGTAACCCCCCAAAACTCAGTTCCAGACCCTGCAGTAGCCCTGTTGCTACGTGTCACCGGCCCAAAGAACTGCTTCCGGGGCACGCCCGCCCGCGCAGGCGTGCGAGCAGGCTTTGCGCAGTCGGGTTTGGTTGAACACCCGGGTCGTATGAGTGTGTGTATGACCGGTGGGGGCGGGATGTACCGATGAGCGGACTTGATTGATTCGTCCTGACACGGGCCAATAGGGAGCAGGGAGCCGCTTCCGGCAACCGGGTTAGCGGTGGAGCCAGGAGTGTGAGTTCTGGCGATCAGGGGCTGGTTCCTAGTTAGGAGGGAGCAGTTCTCCTAATGTTGGGCAGGAGGAAGAACAGAAACGCTGAGCGACTCGGGCAACACCTCGGAGTCTCTGGACTCGTTGATTCAGGGGCTGCACTGAGGATTTTATGTCTATTATTTAGTCGTTATAGCCTAATGGCTTTGTTTTTGTGAGTGAGTCTAAGTTCATTCTGTGTTAGCAGCTGGAAACTTAGAACTGTCTGTCACCAGTAAATACTAAGTGATACTCATTAGCAACTATTGCTGTATATTACTAAGACAAGTGTAAGAGAAGGACCATATGTCCGGTTTTCATACCGTGTGAACTGTCTACGGCTTATTTCTCACATTGTCAAATTTAATGTATCATTTACTTGTGTATAGAGTGCATTACACAAAATTGCTAGTATTTAATCTAAAAAAAACGTTCAGTCTTATTTATTCAGCCTAAGAAGTAATATTTATTATTTGACCAATAAGTCCGTTGGTTTACAATATTTAATTAGGTAAGTTCATATTTAATTTGCTAAGATATTATACCATGGATATATGTGCATACATATTAATGTTTCTATATATGTGTTAAAGTCCATCTCAAATGTCCTATGTCCATTATGCAAACTCTTCCCCAAGTCCTCAGAAAGAAATGTTTAAAAAAAAAATTGAAAAGGCATATGAAGAGCTGTTTTAAAGAATGTTGATACATGAGCCACAGCAACTATGATACCACATACCCATGCTTTTGTTGTAATTTGTATAGAAAATATTGGCAAGCAAAAGTGCTTCATGGAATTTTCCATTTCTTGGAATTTGATGAAAGCAAGTAAGAGTAATGTGATGGTTTGAAGTAAATGTATTCAGGCTGTATTAATTTCCTGGTTTGTTCTAACAAAGTACCACAAATTGAGCAGCTTAGCCAAAAACTGTTTTCTCATTTCTAAAATCCTTAAGTTCAAAATCAAGCATTACAGGATTACTTCTCTTTGACGGCTGTAGAGGAGAATCAACACTTACCTGTCTCCCAGGTTTTGGTGGATACTGCAGACCTCAGTGTTACTGATTTATAAATACATCACCCAACTTCTGTCTTCATGGTCACATAGAACGCTTCCTGTCTTTTCCTGCAGATCTCCCTTATGGCAGGTCTATCTGTGTCCTGAGTTGCCTTTAATCAGGCCAACCATTCTTATGAGGTGAAGGCATTAATGATAGCATTTTTTCTTTGATTGCTTCCATAAAGGATCTTCCTGAAGTTACATTCTCATCGTGGAAATATGGACATTAACGTGTCACTTTGGAAAAACAGTGAATCCAAAACAGCCTATTATTCTCACTCTATTTCCTTGCCCACACATAGACCAAGCCTTTTCCTATACACATTCTCAGATGAACAGTAACCTGAATTTTTTTTCATTTTGATTGTATATCCATGCCAATGTCCATTTGTTGTCAGGATTGCCAAGAGTATTATCCTGCTGAAGAAATTTCAGAGAAGTGGAGTACCCAAGCTGCTCTCTGGTGGTCTTGTTTGCAATTTGGTATAGAGTAAATTCCTCAATTGGGTTTAAAGGTAGTCTAGTGCTTACTGAAGGCAAATACTGAAATGAGATTTTGTCAGTTTCTGAAACAAGAGGCCATCAAACTATAAATGAGCAAAGGCTTGCTGAAAGGAAACACTAATGGCTAAGAATACAAGTTCTTAAGCACAGATATTTTGTATAATTTTTTCCATTTATGCTGATTTTTAAGAATTATAAGTTAGAACTTTTGAAACAATCATGTTTTCACTTTTAATTTTCTCCCTTGGAGGTAAAAGTTGTGGTAGCCTAACCATAATACTTTCCATATACATGGGATTGTTGTGTTATTAAGACTGCTTATTATAAAACCAACTGAATTCTTCCTTAAATGCAAATGAAATTAAACTTTGATTTTCATTAAAGTGTGCATTTGGTTCTGGAAATAAAAGGCAAACACATTTTTGTGTTTTGGTTTTACATTAAGCAGTCAAGGTGCTTTTTACTCTTCTGTATTCCTAATTTCACATAATCTATTGAACATCATAAATCCCTTACTGTCTAAGAGTGATTTCTTCCCCTGTTGGAAGGGAGTATAAATAGATTTTGAGTCTTGATGAGATTTGATTTTAGAAAGATTAACTTAATTTAAAGGAGTATTTTTGAAGGTTTATATGAAGCATTTCTTAGCTCATGAGATGGCTCTGGGTTAAGGCACTTGCTACCAAGGCAAATGACCCGAGTTCTATATCTAGAATCTATGTAGTAGAGTGAAAGAGCAGACTCTGAAAGCTGTCCTCTGACACACACACACACACACACACACACACACACACACACACACACACACACACCTTAACATGTGCCATCCCTCCCCAGAACATAAAAAATAACCTTCATTTCCTTGCCTCTAAATATTCTTCCTGTTAATTCCCACTCGACTTCTGTACTTAATGTAACAATGCCTCTTTTCCTTGTCTGAAATTAAATGTCCCAATATCATGCTCAAATTTTGAGAGAGTCCCCAGAGATTAGCCTAAATTTGCTTAGATAGCTCTAACATAAACAAACAAAAAGACCTCTCTTCACAGAAAATCAGGACAGCAAATGTCTCTGAAAATGACCAAATGCTCCTAATTAGTCTAATTTCACATATGAGAATTAAAGTGCTTAGGAGAGCATCCATGATATTACAGGTGATGTTTAAAAAGAAGTGAAGGGGTGTATTATAAAGGCAGAGCCAAGATTTCAAGTGTAGCCTTGATGTTTTGACATTTTTTTTATCCTCTCAGAGCCCCAAGATTCTAGCTATCAGTTCCCGTGTTATTGCCAGATATGCCCACCTTTCCAAGGGAAAGCCCTCCACTGAGTAGCTTCCTCTGCTACTTTGACAAGCAGCTGCACCCAGCCCAGTATTCAGCCCCTGTATAAGCTAGTGAAGTAAAAATAAGCAGTTTTATCCAGCCGCAGATACAGAGATCACCTCATCCTCTAGATTCTAAAAGCTTCAGCCCTTATTAGTGCACTCTCTTCCTGAGAGTCACCCCAATGTGGCCCACTTGACATACAGTGTTCTCAAAAATCTATACTTGGATACGAGTCATAAACTGTTGCCAATATCATATCCAGTTTAAGGTATAGCATGTGTTCTGTCACCTGGGGCGGCCTCTTATTTCACTAAGAAAATGAGTTAAAGATGATCTAAAGAGGCTGGGAGGTGGTGGCGCACGCCTTTAATCCCAGCACTCGGGAGGCAGAGGCAGGCGGATCTCTGTGAGTTCGAGGCCAGCCTGGGCTACAGAGTGAGTTCCAGGACAGGCACCAAAACTACAGAGAAACCCTGTCTCGGGAAAAAAAAAATGATCTAAAGAGATTTGGTCAATCATGGCCAAAATGGCTGGTGTCAGATTTACCCATTATCATTTTTATCCCTTACAGCTGGTAGATGACAATGATTAGATGCTAAGTGATGGGAACAAACTAATTATACTAGACACTTAATTGGAATGCTTAGTTTATATCCATATTCCAGTACATAAAATAATGCTGTTTATGGTATTTTTTGTTTATTTAACAAATATTTATTGAAATATGTCAATTGCCACATACAATAGACTTCTTGATATTTTAAGCTTGAAAACACTCTAGTCTCCCCTCCCCTGCAGGCTGGCTATAATCTATCCACCTTCTGTCCTTTCCTGGAAAAAATTCTTCCTCAAGGCACATGTGGTAGTTTGAATGAAAATGGCCCCCATAGCTTGTAGTGGGTGGCACTATTAGGAGTGGCCTTGTTGGAGTAGGTGTGGCCTTGCTGGAGGAAGTGTGTTGCTGGAGGCAGGCTTTAAGGTTTCAGATGCTCAAGCCAGGCCCAGTGTCACTTTTTTTTTTCTGTCTGTTCATCTGAATGTAGAACTCTCAGCTCTTTCTCCAGTACCATATCTGCGTATAGGATGTCATGCTTCTTACTATGATGACAATGGACTGAACCTCTGAACCTGCAAATCAGCCCCAATTAAATGTTTTCCTTTATAAGAGTTGCTGTAGTCATGGTGTCTCTTCACTGCAATAACATTCCTAACTAAGACAGCATAAAGCTTGGTAAGGTCACTATGTAGTTTCCATAAAGCCTGACTCAACCATTTTGTGTTTGTGAACTAGAATGTCCAAGTCAGAAAAGGCTCAAGTTTGCAGACTTGCTGTCTATGAGAATGTTTATAAATATCTGCCAATGGACGTCCTTTCTGTTAGTGGTAACAACACTATACATAAGAAGTCTTCATCAGTTTCCATGACATGATCTTAATCACTGGTGTTCATGGAACATAGGGGAACTGGGGAATAGTGTATCTTGAAAATCCTTTGAGCTGTATTAGAACAGGATTAGTGGATCCATGCCTAGAGGAATCTACAGAATCACTAATTTAATTTCCAGGTCATTTATTTCTAAGTTCCTCTGACATATTCCTGAACACCATTATCCTATGTTTGAGTTATCTATTATTTATAAAAAAAATGAAAGAGTAAAAACCAAAACATCAAAACTTTATGGCTTTGAACACCTGTTTTCACATTTGAGTCTCTCACAAATTTGTAGATTGCAGGGGCTTGCCAGGAACAGCTGGCCTTTGTTCCACACAGCTTCAGTTGGGCTTGAAGGCAAGGTAGTATCTGAAAGTTCACTTGGCACAGCCATATCTGAATGGAATGGCAGAAGTCATAAAGCCAGCACAGCTGCTTGACAAAGACCCAACAGAGCTGAGCCTCATGATGGCTGCCATGCC